GAGCCCATGCTGTGGGTGCACGCTGTGAGCGCACGCTGCGAGCGCAGGGCGTGCAAGCGCGCTCATCAGCTCAGCGAGCCTTCGACGCCGCGTGCACTCGCAGCGTGCACTCACAGCGTGCGCTTACCGCAGCGTGCACTCACAGCGCGCACTCACAGCGCGCACTTACCCCAGCGTGCACTCACAGCGTGCGCTCACAACGTGTCCTCACCACTGCGTGGGCTCACAGCGTGCACTCACAGCGCGCGCTCACCACAGCGTGCACTCACAGCGTGCGTTCACAGCGTGCACTCAATCACTCACGGTTATGCGCAAAGCTCCTCACGGTCAGGATCTCTTCTGGAGAGGCGCCGCCATGGGCGCCGCGGCTGCCCTTCGCGCAGATCTACCAACCCGAGCAGCCGTCCACCCTGGTGAATCAGTAGACTCCCCCCTGACCACCCTCTCAACCGCTGAGGCACGCGCCTCAAGATGGGGCCGGCCGAACGGCGGCCGTTGGCCCATCGGCGCGTCGCCCGCCTCCCGCATTTTCTTCCAGTTTTGCTCCTGCACCGACAGCAGACGCCACCAGCGGCCAGCTGCCTCTCTACACATCCATACATCGGTACTACTCTTATACCGCGTTGCCGCCTTTACTGGGCACGCCGCCGAGCAGCAGCTGGCCGCGACGACTACCTGCCCTCTGCGACTCCCACCTCGCCGCTCCTTGGCGACGGCATTTCACCACCGCTACGAGCTCTTACGGCGAGAGCAGCAACAGCTGGCCATGCTATGCAGTGGGCCCACGGTAATGGAGGTCTTCAGAAACCCGCCGTGGCACTGTCGCGCAGTAGTGCTATTTGACCGACGTGCCTCGACAGTGCAAGCTGGCGGATCAAGCTGTCTCATGCGCCCCCTTGCCGGGGGCCATAATCGCGTGCTGTGAGCTGGGGCCTCGGGGGCTGCAGCGCGACAAGCCTCCATTCCATTGGTCTGGAGGCTTTTGCCCAACCACCACTACCTCCTGGCTCACGTCCTCACAGCCTCCCCCTCCCGCCCCACCTTTGCCCCGCTCGCCTTCGCCTCCCACTCGCGTGGCGGAGGGGCGGGTGGGTTTCATTGGGGTGGGGGGGCGTGGGAGCTCACCGACGGTCCCCCCGGCGATGGTCAAGATGACCGCGGCTATTACGCCGCCCCCGCCAGCCCCATAGTCTTCCGTTACAGCAGCAACCACCGCTCTCCAACTCAGCCTGTCGTAACTACCAACGCCTTCAGCTCCCACTTCTGCTCACCGCTGCCGCAGTTCCTTCCGTGGCCGCCGCCGCGGAAGGCGCAACAAATCACCCCCGCGCCCGCTGGGGCCCCCAGAGCGGGCCACCAGTTTTTCCATCGGGAAGCCTACGCCTGCTTGTAGGTGAGGGTACCCGTCGTAGGATTGGTGGGCGCCTACTGGGGATTCCTGCCAGCTGAGGGGAGAGGCCTCTGCGCCTTCCAGCTTGGCGTGCGTGGCCACCAGCCACGCTGCCCCTCGCCCCTCAACGGGCTACTGCATGGCAGCGGTGGGTATCGGAGGGGGATGGACGGGCAGCGAGCCACCACGGCCGTCAAACTACACGGCCGCCGCCGCGGAAGGGCCAAACCTCCCCCGCACCTGGCGCACACCTCGCGGCGGCACCCAGTCCCTACCTCGAGAACCCTGCGCCTGCTTCGGCGGGCGAGGCTTACCCTGGCGGGACTATGGGCCATCGTTCGGGGCTTCCGGCGGGTAGGTTGGAGGCCGTTGTGCCTTCCACTTTGGCGGGCGCGGCCTGGACACGCATTTTGCCGAGCCGCCGCTGCCAGCGCGCACCTCCACGCCCACCGCCGCCACAGCTCCGTCCTTCTCCTCCCTGTTGAGGTTCTGTCAAGGTTCTCTTTCTTTCTTTCTTTCTTTCTTTCTTTCTCTCTCTCTCTCTCTCTCTTTCTCGCTCTGTCTCTGTCTCTCTCTCTCTCTCTCTATATATATATATATGTGTATCGCTCTTCTCTCTCTCTCTCTCTACCTTCTGCTGTCGTTGACCTTGTACCATGCACTTCGCCAGCTGGCGACTCCTGGAAAGATTTCTCCAGGAGTCGCGTGGCTCTCAGATTGATCAGCCCCCCGGGCCGACCAGCCCTTGGGGGGAGGGCGACGTTCGAAGACCGTTCGTGCCTTCAGGCTTTCAGGCTTCCAGGAGGAGGGCACGCAAACCCAATTGACTCTGCAGCCAACCGAAACTACCTAGGGAACCATGAAATTTAATGTTCGGCTGCCCTTGCTGCTTGAAGGCTCTGCTTGGGGAGACCCACGCACGCGGATTCCGTCCTGCATGCATGGCGATTATTCACAGCAGTCATTCTCGCCTGGCTGATCGTCCAGGCGACCGTATCATTACATGGATCCTTCAACATTGGGGACTGTCGGGATGCGGACGATCCGCCACATCTGAGACAATAAGCAGAAAGGGCCCACCGTGACCATATGGTTGCCCCGAACGAGCTCAAACGGGGGTTCACTGGGACCTGGGGGCATACAGGGCTAGGCATACGAGGGAGGGACATGGGCAGGCACCGACGAGCCAGGCAGACTGAACACAGTGCCGCTGGCCCTGGGCACGCAGCCATCCGTACCAGGCAGCACGGGGCTCCCTGTGAAGCCACGGCGCCCCTGGAGACGCCCCAGACGGGCGTCTGGCAGGCGAGGTCCCGCTCGCAGCCCCCGCAGAACTCGCGGCAGGAGCCGCGGGAATGCGGGGCCTCGCAGCCTCGCCCTCCCCGCTCGGATGGCCGGCCGCAGGTCCCATGGCACGATCGGCGGCGCGGAGCGCGATGGCGATGGCCTCCGAGGACGCAGGAGGGTCGGGAGGCGCTGGCCGAGGAGTGGGGGGAGTGAGGTTCTGCCCGGCGTGGGCCAGGGGGCGCTGGAGGGCAGTCGGCTCGCAGGACGTGCGCTCCAGCCTCACCAGCGCTGCCTCGGTGGAGGCCTTGGCCATGCATCCCATGCAGAAGCTCCACGTTGGGCATCTGGCCGAGCGTCTGGTGGAAGGCCCATCGCTCAGCCCGTCCAACAGTCTGGCGATGGAGGCTGACGAAGATGGCACGGATTGGAAGTAGTCGGCGCTCATCTGCACGCACGCCCATCCACATTTGCAGAGCTCTGGCCAGGAGGTGTCGTAGCCCGAGCCATCGTTGTACACAACCGTGGACCGCAGGCTGACATCGGTGGACCAGTCACCCCACCAGCATGTTTTACATTACACAGAAGGCGGAGGTACCTGGTATTGTATGGGACCATGGGCAGCCCAGTGACGATGTCGAAGCGGTCGTAGTCGGTGTCAGCCCCTCCCCGATGCTGCACCTGTCCTTCAGCCTAGCCCATACCTTGAGCAGGTCATCGGGGAGCGCCTCCATGGTGCCGACCTCGTCCTGGCCGACGTTGAGCACGTGGGTGCACTCATGGAACTGGTGCCTTGGTTCGGGCCGGACGAAAGGGGGGGATTGGGAAAGGGGGGGTTACGAAATTTACTGCATGCAGCTGGTTTCGGCCTCACCGAGGGGCCCATTCCTCGATACATGGGCGCCTCTCTGGGCGGGAGGCGCCGGGAAAATCAGCTACGTGAGCTGATTCTCAACCCCCCTTTTGCTATTCCCCCCTTTCACCCGACTCGATTGGTGCACGACTGCTGTCCAGGGCACAGTTGGTGCTAAGGGATCTCGACAGGTAGCCCTTCGTATGGCGCTTGACCGCGGTCCAGGAGGCGCTTGTCCGCAGCTTGCGCAGCTGCCCAGCTCGAGGCCCGTGAAGTCGAGCCCACGGCGACGCCAGTAGATCCTCCGCACAGCCCAGTGCCAGAGGGAGGCACTGGGGGGCGGCGCGGGCTCCTAACGGTTAGCGAGCATCTGCTTGACCGGCCATGGCTGGATGCCCTCTCGGACCAGCTTGTTCAGCTCGCTGGGCGGCGTGTGCAGCAGCTCGACGAGGGCTCCCGTGTCCGAGACCAGGGTCAGGCTGGAATGCATCGTCCAGCCGATAAGCAGCAGGCTCATCCACATCGCGGCCAGCGGCCCTCTTACACCATGCCAGGTCGGCTTAGCGTCAAGCCATTTGCGCTCGTGCTCCTTCCGCGCGCCTTGAAGGCTGGACAGCTGGAGCTTGCCGTCCCAGATAACAGCACAGTACTTGCTAACGGGCGCCAGCGTGGCGTCGAACATGAGGTCGAGGTACGGGTCCTTCTGAGTGGCCGCGTGCAGGGTTTTCGAGTCCGCCCCGACGCCACCTCGCCCACGGCACAGTAGCACGGCCGTGTGGCGCAGCTTGGCCAGGTGCTCGTCCGTGACGCCCGAAAACTGCAGCACCGTAGGCCGCTGACGGCAGCAGCCCAGTCCTCCTCAGCGCCTGGATGCAAAGCCCCCGCTTTGCGTTGCAGGGCCGCAGTGCGCGGAGCACGGGCCTGGAGGGAGGCCAGTCGCTTGTTGGCCACAGTGCGGATGAGTCCCTTGCCGTGGGTACCGTGGCAAGGTTCCGTGCATGAAGTCGTTGTTGGAGCCGTAGCGCCTGGGCCACCTTGCCGAAACCCCGCTGGGCTGGCCGTCGTTGTCGCCATCCAAGCCTGGCAACCTTGACTTCCAGCCCGAACGGCGCGATTTCATCAATGAAGCTTCTCACCGCCTTGCGAAGAGCCAGCGCACCTCTGCCGATGGCCTCACCAATCCACTACAAGGTGCGGTCGCCGGGGGGAAGAGGAGGATGTGGGAGTAGGACGAGGACAGGGAGGAGGTCGGAGAGGTGAGGAAGGAAGGGAAAGAGAGGACGGAGGGAAGGGTGAAGAGTAGGAAGGGGGAAGGAGGCGAGCAGGAGGGAGGAGGCGCAGGAGGAGGCTCAGGAGGAGGAGGAGGAGGAGGAGGAGGAGGAGGAGGAGGAGGAGGAGGAGAGGCGGAGCAGAGAGTAGGAGAAGGGAGGGTCTGCGCAGTCCGTGTGTGTGTGTGTGTCTCTCGCTCCCCAGGTCAAGCAACTGATCAAGGACCAGGGCATGCCAAACCAGAGCGACATCAATACTATCCATCGTTCGTCTCCTCCTCCTCCTCCTCCCCAGACGCTCCAATCTCCTCCTCCTCCTCCTTCGCCAATCTTGATCTGATCTCCTCCTCCTCCCCCTCCTCCTCCTCCGTCTTACCCTCCGCCGCCTTATCTTCCTCCTACTTCTTCGTTTTCTTCCTCCCATTCTTCTCCCCTCTCGTCGTCGTTCTCCGCCCCTTCCCCATTCCGGTGTCGCTTCCCCCCGGCACCCCGGGGGAGGGCAGCGCAGGCTCCTGCTGCCCCTGCTGCTCCTCCTGCTGCCCGCCCCATTTTGCTTCCCCTCCCGCCTTTTGCTGCCGATCCTCCCCGCGCCTCCCTGCAGCTGCTGGTGCGCCTGCAGGAAGATGCAACAAGCAACGAGGCGAGTGGACGGCAAGAGCCCTTCCCCAGCCCTCAAGGAACACACGAGGGGCTCCGGTCCCACCGCCGACGCCTTCAAGGGGCGCGGCCGCGCGTGGGCGCGGTTGTGGGTATCGACGCTCGCCTCGCCTCGCCATGCCAAGGAACATATGTTTGGTCGGCGCCCCAGCTGGTACTGAACATGCCGACAGCATGCTGAGCGCAGAGAGGTGCCCTGCAGCATCGGAAGAGGTGAAGGCACACTGACACGTAACGCGTGCGTGCGATTCACCAGCTGCCCGCTGCAAGCCTCGCCTCCGCGCCAGCGCAGCAGCGCAGCTGGAAGAAGATGTATTGAACATATGCATGTTGGATTTCTTATGTAGTGAAAAATAGAAAAACCCTACACCCTAAACCCTAAATACAAAAGCGCATGTTGGAGCTTCTCTGGGGCCTCTTGAGGGTCTCTCGAGAGTCGTTTTAGGTTCGTTCGGGAGGCCTCTGGGGCTTTCTGGTGATCTCTTGTCCTCTGAGGCCCCTTTTGGTGCCTCCTGGGGGCCTCTTTGGCCGATCCAAGGAAGCATATGAGGCCATCTTGGGGACCCCCCGGCCGTCTTTGGGGCCGCTTGAGAGCCCTCAAGCGCTGTCTTGGAGCTTCATGGGTCGTCTTGATGCCATCTTGGGCCATCTTGGGGCCCGTTTAGAGCGTCTGTCGGCCTCCTTGCGCAGCCCAGGGACCGTCCTGGAGGCCTTTTGGCCGTCTTGGGGCGAGCTTGGCAGTCTGGGGGCGTGTTTTGGCTGCTTGAGCTGTCTTGGGGCGCTCTTCCGGGAGAGGGGGTGTTTTGACCCCCCTCTGGGCCTCTCTTGGAAACGGCTTCTCCAACCAGTCGTATGTCAGGGACAAGATCCACAATCGGCGCGGGAGGGGGGCGGGACGATTTTCTGAGGCCGGATGCGGCCCTGGGGTGGGGCCGCTCTAGAAAGCACTAACGACACCCTCGGGTACACGTAAGAGTAACCCTTCGCCTGAGCTACCTTTGGTGCGGACTCATTGGGGTCCCCCGACTGCCGAACACGATGCGGCCCCCCAAAAACCGCGCACCTAAGGTCAGTCTTACCCAGGGTCAACCTTGCGTGTGGTCGACACCCTACCGGACAGAAGATGGAGCATTCTAATACGCCCCAGCGTGCACAGGGCACGGTGACGGACACTGGACTCCCAAGAAAAGGACACCGATCCAGTTGCTGTTGGTGCACACGTCGGGTATCCTCAAGCAACGGCGGGAGTGGACGAGACGAACCCCTTTCCAACCAGCAAGGCAGATAGATCTGTGTCTGCGAGCTGCGCCCTTGAAGCACACGTATGGGGTCTACGTTATCACCGACTTCACCCTCTGGGCCTGATGGCTGCGGAGCCGCGTCTTCGGGCTCGTCTGCCGCCAGGACAAAATCAAGGACTAGTATCGCAATGGCCGTGCGCGGGACGAGGAGGAGGATAAGGAGAATAGCGAGGCAACAGTGGCGGCACTGGCGTGCAAGCGTGCAGATGCAAGAGATGCAAATGCTGGCACCCAGTATCGTACTAAACAGAGGGCTGGCAATGGCAGGCTGATCCTCGATCAGACAGACACTTCGTGCTGGGGTAGTGGCCGTCATAGCCGGGCTTGTCTCGGCTACTGCTGCTGCGACTGCTTCTGGTGGTGTTGCTGCTGCTGTTGCCCTCCCCTGCTCCATCCTGCTCCTCTCTTAAGTCGGGCGTGTCCCTCTACAGGAGGGATGTTCAAAAGGAGTCAAAACATAGCCAGGGGACGTTGTTTCGATTATTGTTTGACTATGTTTGAGTATGTTTGAATATCTTTATTTTTTCGTCCAAAATCCGCCTGTAGGTGGATATGCCCGACCTAACGCTCCTCCCTGCTTCCCGTCACTCTGTCTGTGGGCGTGGTTGCCATGTGAGGACCTGATCACGCGACTCCTGGAGGAGGCGTCCGACGAGGCGGAACACAAGAGCTGGTGCGATACAGAGCTTTCGACCAACGAACAGACCAGGAAGGAGAAGACGGCGCAGGTGGAGGAGAAGACGGCGCAGGAGGAGGAGGAGGTGGAGGAAGATGACGGGGGGGGGGAACGAGGGAGGGGAGGAGGGAGGAAGAGAAGGGAGGAGGAGGAGGACGAGGAGGAGAAGGTGGAGGTGAAGGAGACAGATGAGGACCCACCCTCTTGATTGTCTCCATGCGAAGGCTGAGGCGGACGACGACGAAGAAGAGAACGACTATGACGGTCATGACTAGCGACGGCGAAGAATTCAAGATGATGGCGTCGGTGCTGGCGACGATGACGTGGATGCTGGTGTTGATGATGATGCTGATGATGGTGATGATCCTGGTGATGATGATAATGATGATGCTGATGATGGTGATGATGATGATGACGATGCTGATGATGATGATGATGATGATGATGATGTTGGTGGTGGTGGTCGCGGTGGTCACGATAATGGTTGATGGAGGCGGTGGTGGTGCTGATGATAACGATGCCGACGACGATGCTGATACTGATGATGATGGTGATGGTGATGGCGATGGCGATGCTGATGATGATGATGATGATGATGATGATGATGATGATGATGATGATGATGATGATGATGGTGATGATGATGATGATGATGATGGTGATGATGATGATGATGATGATGATGATGATGACCATGATGCTGATGATGATGCTGCTAATGATGATGATGATGATGATGATGATGATGATGATGATGGTGGTGATGATGATGATGATGATGATTGTCATGGTGATGATGATGATGCTGATACGGGTGGTGGTGATGACGAGGTTGTTGATGGTGATGGTGATTAGGTCGATGATGTTGTTGAGGATACTGATGATGATCATGATGATGATGATGATGATGCGGATGATGCCGATGATGACGATGATGATGATGATGATGATGATGATGATGATGATGATGATGATGATGATGATGATGATGATGATGATGATGATGATGATGATGATGATGATGATGATGATGATGATGATGATTGTCATGGTGATGATGATGAGATACGGTGGTGGTGATGACGAGGTTGTTGATGGTGATGGTGATTAGGTCGATGATGTTGTTGAGGATACTGATGATGATCATGATGATGATGATGATGATGCGGATGATGCCGATGATGACGATGATGATGATGATGATGATGATGATGATGATGATGATGATGATGATGATGATGATGATGATGATGATGATGATGATGATGTTTATGATGATGCTGATGATGACGATGATGATGTTGGTGGTGATGATGATGCTGCTGCTGATGATGATGATGATGATGATGATGATGATGATGATCATGGTGCGCGGGTGGAGGAGGAGGAGGAGGAGGAGAAGGATGATGAGGAGGAGGAGCAGAAGGAGGTGGAGGAAACTACTCAGGGTGAGGTGGACCACGCGGAAGGAATGGGTGTGGAGGAGAAATCCTCGGAGGTGGAGATTCTCCATGCGGAGAAGGATGGGCTGGAGACCTCCATCGCTAAGCTGGCCGAAGAGCTCTCCAAGTTGGCCGATGCCATCGCGGACCTTGACAAGGCCATGGCCGAGGCCACTGACCTGCGTACGACTGAGAAGGCGAAGAACGACGAGACAATCGACGAGTCGCAGCAGGCCCAGAAGGCCGTCGCGCAGGCCCTCGTCGTGCTGAAGGATTCCGAAGGGCTTGATGACTTTTTCCAACCGACTTGCAGGGATCAGTCCTGGCATATCGAGGTGAATCCAGGTACACCCACGCAAATCTGGGTACACCGAGATCAGTGTAGCGATCTCCAGGGAAATCTAGAGCAAACTGTGGACGCTCCAGCGCAAGTCGAAGGGACTGCAGACGTCGTTAAGCCCTGAACGAAAGGAGTTCTACGCCAAGGCCGCCGAGGCCACGGCCCTCGTGCAGCAGGAGCCTCTCGGAAGGGTGGAGCCCCCCCGCAACCCAGACATCCCCAAGATGTACAAGAGCGCCTACAAGGGCATGGGCGGTGAGGCGAAGGGCGTGGTGGCTGGAGGCCAGACAATAAGCCCCACTTCTTCGCGCTGCGAAGAAATCACGGCGTCAGGTTCTGAGCCGTTTTCGGCTTATGGGGGGGCCCTCACCGGGCCCTGGAGCCGTCCAAGAGCGACCTGGGACGAGAATCCGGTCCTGGGGGAGGGGTCGAGAACTCCCAGGGCCGGCGTTGTGAAAGAAACACGGAGTCGGAATTCTGGGGAGCATGGGCACAGATCTCTCGGACGCCCGCGCACATGCTCTCCGCCGTCGGTCGCCGGGACCTCCTCCCCGCCGGAGGAGCAGCCGTCCGCAGGCGCCCCTTCTGGCGTTGCTAGAAGTGTCACTGACCCAAGGTGTCCCCAGGATTTTCGAGGAGGCGCCCACGGGCGCGAGAGAATCCCTCACGATGCCCAGGAGGCCCAGGGGCTCGAAGAGCTAAGCTGGGGGAACTTTCGGGCCAGGGACACCTTCAGCAACCCCCGACCCGAGGTGTACATTCACATGCCTTTTCCGTCCTCCAAGGTGGGTATGCTCGAGGTCATCGAGACGGACTTCGCTCGCCTGGAGGCGGACACAAAAGCTGCAGAAGCGGCGGCGCAGAAGGAGTACGACATGTTCATGGCCGACTCCAAGGAGGACAAGGCCACCAAGGAGAAGGAGGTCGAGAACAAGAACTTCAAGAAGCAGGACGAGGCGCAGGCGCTCGTCGTGACCCAGAAGAACTTGGAGGGCACGCAGAAGGAGCTCGACGCCTCCCTGGCCTATTTCGACAAACTGAAGCCATCCTGCATCGACGTCGGCGTGGCGTACGAGGACCGCGTGGAGCGCCGGAAAGAGGAAATTGCTTCCCTGCAGGAGGCACTCAAAATTCTCAGCGGCGAGGACATTGCATGAGTGAGCCTCGCGCGAAGCTCGCGTAGTCCGTGTCTCACCAGCCACCAGCCAACTAGCTGAATGATGGTCTGTCAAGTTTTCCTTCCTGGAGCGCAGCAAAGATGTGCACCACCCATGCAGGGATGGGCGCGTCTTGGAGGGTACGCGGTTCCCCTGATCTCCCAGTCGCCAGCCTCACATCATCACGCTTCTTCTTCCAATCGAACTTGACGCTGTCGGCCAGCCCTCGACCGGAGAATTGGCACATCGAGCCGCAACTGACATACATTTGATGCATGAATCACATCGTGCAACAATGAACTGGCCAAGCTTTTGCCACATGCGACCTGAAAGGCGCGAGCCTTGAATGTACTGCTATCGGGCTCTCGATGGAATGGTATGCATCTTCCTGTATCGACACGTTCGGAGCAAGTGTGTAGTATCGTCCAGTAAACATGGCATGCACCATTGCTACACACATTGTTCAAGGTGGACCTAGCAACGCTGGGTTCTTCTGTTCTTCCTGCGCTCAGGATGTCACTCCGGCTTTGCAACAGTGGCCCAGAGTCGATTCAGAGCGGGTCTACAACGGTTGGCTCGCTTTCTCAGAGATCGGGGAAGCGCGACCATATAGTTTAGATCCAAATCACTGGTCGAACTAGTGCGAACGTGACAGATGCATGATGGAAGTTTGATAAGTCGCGCCGTCAGCGACATCTCAAAACAGCGTACATCAAAAACCTGTTGCAAGTGCGCGTCACGATTTTGCGATCGCCACAACCAAGCACGGGTAGCGAATTTATGTGACATCGCGCAGCAAGCAAGGACGTTTACCAACTATGGAACATCGTAGGCCTCCCGATCGTCCAGTGCACACCATAACATCAACCTCAGCCTACATCCCAACCTCAACCTCAACTATAATACGGGCGCGGTGAGGCTGGGCGTGGAGCTGAGGGTGATGCAGACGTTGCACAAGCATTGACAGGTTGCGAATTCTTCGGAAGTTCTATATAATGTGGTGCTCCACACCGTATTTGCTTAATTCAGTTCCTTCATGGTCGGCCACCGTGCGTTTCGTGCCCATTGTGGCTCGGGTTGTTGGTCTCAAGCCTTCTCCGTCCAGGTTCCAGTCGCTGTCCGTTGCGTTGCTGATGCGGAGTGCACGTTTCTTTGCAGTGATCTCGTTCGCTTTTCCCTCGTTTGCTTCCTTATGCTTCTGGTGGTAGGAGGGGGAGAAGAAGGAGGAGGAGGAGGTTGAATACTAGCATACTGAAAGAGACTGGGGAGTGGGGTAAGGAGAAGGATGAGGGGGGCAATGGAGGAGCAATGGAGGCGCAGGAGGACAATGAGGCGGGTGGAGGAGGGCTAGGAGGACAAAGAAGGGGACGGGATTCAACTGGAGGATGCAAAAAGAGGCCGTCCACGCGGCACAGGGACTAGGACCACCAGCATGAACAGTGAGAGTCCATGACCAACACCGCCAACCCTGACTCGCCAGGACCCCGTTTCGAAGCACATTATCAGCCGCTTTTTGCGGCTAAGCTGGTGACGTGGACGAGCGCACACCGCTCTCCACCGTGTGCGGGCCGTCGTCTGGCGGCTGGGGCTCGCTGCAGCAACGCCCCGTGACAACGCCACCACCAGCAGCACTAGCCACAGCAGCAGCGGCACCACCCTCATACACTCTCGGCAGGGCTTCGGCCAATGTGGCAGGTCCACCCGACCCCGACGAGGCTGGCTGGTGAGCCTCCTCCCTGGCCTTCTCGCGCACACCTCGGGGGCCCTCCCTGCTGAGGTAGAGCCCCTTCCGAATTCTGCCCAAAAGTTCGGCTCCCTTTCGCGACGGCCCCAGACAGGCCGTCTCGAGGTGACGGAAATCAACTGTCGCAAATCTGCCACAAGTAGCAGACAAGCATGTTCAGTTGCTCCACGCCTCGAGTCAGTGGGATTCGCGAATCACTTCTCGCCCAGGCCAGTTTGAAATGCCGTGCCAACAGCTCCTGGGGGCTTGGCATGTCACAGGCAGCGGGGACAAGGTGGGAGGAGGAGCAGGAGGAACGGGAGGAACAGGAGAGGGGAGGAGGAGGGAGGGGAAAAGGAGGACGACGGGGAGGGGCGAGGAGGGGCGAGAAGGGGCGAGGAGGGGCGAGGAGGGGCGAGGAGGAGGAGGAGGAGGAGGAGGAGGAGGAGGCGGAGGAGGAAGGGGGAGGAGGTGGAAGGGGAGGAGGATGGGGAGAAAGGGGAGCGGGAGGCGGAGAGAAGGGAGGGGGGACGAAGAGAAGCTGGCGGAGCGGGAGCGGGCCGGGCAGCGGGAACGAGCCCCTGCCCGGCTCGGAGGCACCGGTCGTACGTGGACGCGTGGCTGCCAGGGGACGCCGAGGCGCGCCCGCCGCGGGCGCCGCGCGCGCCCTCCCGCCATCCTGACGGCCTCCATCCGCGCTGGCCGCAGGCCCGCCTTTGCGCAGACCCTCGCGGCCTCGTCCTCCTCGTGGCCGTCCTTCTCCTCCTCACGGCTCCCGGCTCGCCTGCCACCATCCTCGTGCTCCTCCTCCCCGTCCTCGTCCCTCTGCCATCCTCTTCTTCCGATCCCCCCTCCTGCCTCTCCCCCTCCCCGTCCCTCCGTCCCTCTTCTCCGCCCCCTCTTCCCCCCTCTTCCCCTTCTTCTTCCTCATCCACTTTTGCTTCCTGTCTGCTCCTCCTTGCTCCCTTCCTTTCCTTCTGCCTTCTTTCTCCTCTCCTCCTGCTCCCCTTCCTCTCCCTTCCCCCCTCGCCTTGGCCTCCGCCGCCCGCGGTCATGGCGCCCTCGGCGGCTCCACGGGAGCTTCTCGCAGCAGCCCGGCCGTCCCCATGGTTCCGCTGGAGTCCCAGGCCGGCGCCCTCTTGAAGCCGGCCCGAGGGGTGTGGCTTGGGCAGAGGCGGATTGGGCCAGGACGCCTCCCGCTCCTCCTCCTCCTCCTCCTCCTCCTCCTCCTCCTCCTCCTCCTCCTCCTCCTCCTCCTCCTCCCCCTTCAGGCTCCTTCAGGCTGCGGAACGTCCGCCTCCAAGAGAAACACGACGCTCAAGGTTGAAAGCATCAAGATTAGGGGGTGAGGCAGAAGGACTTGCGGGGCCCACGACGCGGTTGGTGGACGGGCCTTTCCCCTCTATGACCAGCCTGAGGGTCTTTTCCGCATCCCTGTTGCGGGGCTTCCCGAAATAGGGACTTCCGAGCAGATGGAGCCTTGAAGACCCAAATGCAGCACACCTGGAGCGCCACACCAGAGAGGGGCCCATGAGCCACAGCCTGTGGCTCTTGTCGGCCGGGCGGGCCAACCTCGGGAGCCGTGCGCATGGCATAGCACACACACAGCACGCTTTGAATGACCACGGGCCCTACAGCGGGTGCATAGAAACGCCTTCCCTGCTTTGCTGGCTCGCTGCACGAGGTGGCCTTGACGGTCGGGCACGAGCTGCAGGCCATCGAACGTCGGTCTGCGGGGCTTCTTCACCCGCTGGACGTCGCGACAATCCTGGTAAAGAACAGGGTTGGAAACGTGGGAGCTGGCACCTCGCACGGCAAGTCTATCGGCCAAGTTGTGGCAGAACCTGGCCCAGAACGGCACATTGGAGGTCTTGGAGCACGCTTGCCAAGTGAGATGGGTTTTGATTTTACGGACCTCGATGTTGCCGAGCCCGAAGCCAGTGGCCAGCAAAACACCTCATCCCACAACTCTGAAAAAGGCAACACGAGAGCGGTCGCGTCGGGACCCCGATTCCATAAACCAATGACCGCCTGGCAGTCACTACATATCGTAAGGGAACCAGGGGCAGCTAGATGGATGGCCATGAGAAGAGCAAATACCTCCCCCCTTCCGCTGCTTTGGATGGGGGTGGTGGATGGGCCCAGAAGCACTCCCGTCGGAGCCGCCAACCTCACGCATACTCACTACAGTCACTACAGCCCAGCCTGCCCTGGCCGAGAGGGGGTTGTCCTGGTCGAGGCCCGACCCGTCCACGCAGAGACGAGGGCCCAACAGGTCAGAGGCAGGGCGACGGTGCCAGAGGCGGGAACTGGCCATGGACAACGTGGGCCAGTCGGCCCCAGGGTCAGGCACCAGGACCCTGGGAACCATGAGGTCACACTCAGGCCGACCTGCACCTTCGCGAACAACACCGTCCAGGTCCAGATCACGACGGACCAGGTGGGAACCAGGGCACCCGTAGAGCCTGTGCTTCGGGGTACCTTCAGCCTGCCCGCACGCCAGACAAAGAGGAGCGATGACCTTTATATCTCTGTAGAGCTGCAGCTGACACGGGTACCCACCAGCGATCACCCCGCTGATGAAGATGGCGGCCTTTGGGTTGCCACCTTTCCGGAAACTCTGGAGCTCCTCTCTGATGACTGTGATCAGCGGCGGTTTTGGGACACCGTCGGGGGAGGGGATGGCCACGTGCCGCAACAGTTGGCGATACGTGCCCTGCACAACGAGGGCTTCGACGGAGTGGCGGCCGAAGGAGGAGAGGTGGAGCGAGATCCCATCCCCGATGTCCCACTTATCGAACTCCTTCCCTCAACCGAGGCGCTGCAATGTAGCCAGGACCACGCCAGCAGGGTCGAGGATGGTCGACCACTTGACTGTCCCTCCTCTGGCTTAGTAGTGCTTTCAGCACCTGTCCAGCATGGAGCGGGGCAGCCAGTTCTGGATGACGGCCCGGTGCCACATGCCTAGAGGGAGGAGGTTGGCCTGGTAGGTGGTGTCCAAATGGTGCTCCTTATTAAGGAGGAGTTGGATGGTCCTGTTGCGGCCCCGAGCGGGCCCAAAGGTAGCACTGCCGATAACAGCTCTGAGACTCTGAGAGACGACAACTGGGCGGGAGCCATGTCCAGGACCCTGACGCCGTAGAACGCTGTTGGGGCCCCACCTGTCTTGAGGATCCTGTGCATGCCAGAGAAAGACGACGCCAGGCTTCTGAACCTGGAGAGCCTGGGCAGGAGAGACTGCCACCTACGAGTCTGGTCCTTGGTAGAGCGCTTGCGAGCCCCAGCGAAGGCCACCCCAAGGTTCTTCGTGGCCCCTAAGCCCTTGAAGTCCCAGGCCCTGAGGCCCATGCGGATGACCTGGACGACCTGGGCCGACGAGCCCATGACAATATTTTTGTTGGTTGAGATGGTGAAACCCACGAGCTCCAACTGAATGCAGATGGACCTCGTGGCCCCCAGGACCCTGTTGATAACGTGTTTCCTCTTGTCCACGGCCCCCACAGTGATGTCGTCGACAACACTGTAGAGGGATATGCTGGGGTACAGGCACGAAGCGTCGACCAACACATCGAGCAAGCAGCGACAAATCAGGGATGTGGCTGAGTTGCCCGCAAGGATCCCTTGGTCCACGTACATATCTGCGGACACGCGCATGTCATACTTCAGCGAGCGTCTGTCACGATACAAGCGAAGCTGGAATCGGAGGCGGTGCGCTCGAAGCCTGCGCTTCACTCGGAACCCGACTCCAGCGCAAAGCCCTTTTCAAGTTGGAGATCGACAGGCATCCCCCCCCACCTGGCCGACATGGACCTTGAGGGGTCCAAGCCTTAGGCGCTGAAGCTTTTGGGGTCTCAGCTCAGGTCGGCTAAGGAGCTCGTTGACGACTCGTTGACGGTGAGCGCCAGGAAGTCAAGGAGCGGCAGGAGCGCGCCGCCTCGCTCAAGAAGACCATCTTTGAGAGGATGGCCAAGAAGCGCAAGGGCGAGACTGGTGCAGCGGCTGCCTCGCCGACGCGTCCTACTACCCGCGCCGCCGTCGACGGCGTCGCCCGGCGCGGCAGCGGCGGCAGGGGCGGGGGGGAAGGGGGGCGAGTGCGAGGAGCAGCAGCGCGCGCGCATCGAGAAGGCCGCAGCGGCCATCTCCGGGGCGAAGATCGCGGCGGCCCAGGCAGCCAAGGGGGCGGCCAATGCCAGAGTATTAGCATCGCAGTCGTCGGCGGCTTCGGGCCCCCCCGCAGCCGCTCAGGCTGCGCCGAGCAAGTGGCGTCGCGAGCCGAAGGGTGCCATTCCATCTGTTCCATTGCAACGTCCTTCGGCTACAGCCATCGCCGAGGCTAGCTCGGCGGAACCAGACAGTTTGTCTTCCATGTTTTTCGCCAACTTTACAGTTGCTGGCCCCAGATCGTGGGGGCGCTTGCTGCTTGCGCGACATGCAGAGTTCCATTGCATTTGCCTCGCAGAGACGCACAGGGATCTCGCGGGCACCGCTGAGCGGCAAGGGAAGGCCAAGCAGGCTGGCCTTAAGCTGCAGGCGAATCCAGCGAGACCGACGGGGCAGCAAGTCCAAGCTGGTTTCGAGCATCGCTCCGACGAAGGGGGTGATTGTTTTCTGTTCCAGGGTCATCGTTCAGCAGCATCTCTGGCCAGCAGCTGGTCGCAATTCTATGCCAGTGGTCACAGGTCCCTCGATGGCTTCAAAGCTGTCACCACCAACAGGCAGGGCGTCTCCTACGTTGCCATCAGCTTCCACAGTTCCCCGGGGGGCGGGTGGCCCGCCAAAAAACATGCAGAGGCATGCTAAATCGGGGGGGGGGGGGGGGGGTGTTGTTTTCGTTGCAGCAGCTGTGAGCTGTCATGGCGGACTGGAATACGAGCTCGCACGACCTTCGCAAGCGTGGCTTCATCGACGGGATCAACGGCGTAGTCATATCAGCCTCCAATACTCACATCGCGTGCGCTTCGAGCAGCATGGGCGAGGGCACCGAGAGAGATTTCGCAGTCGTCAGCGCCCGCTTTCTTCCGCACTTCTACACCATGGTCGCCATCGCCGATGTCCCGCGGAAGACGCGCTGTGGACTTCTTCTCAGAGTGCGAGGCCAGGGGGGGGCAGCTGGTCACGCGTGCGCCAGAGCTGCCTGCCAAGTCGCCGCAGGTTGCGAGGCCTTGCTCGCTGCCCCAGGTCGATTCAAAGAGCTCCAGATCCAAGGCTGAACGCCTGTTGGAGCCAGCCGTAGCTCGAGAAAAAAGTGGGAGACGAATGCCACCGTCTTGTTGGGGACGTGGTAGGGGGCGAAGCACTCGGGGCCGGGGCGAGCCTCAGCCGCCTGATCCCGAAGTTCCTCCGCCTATTCAGTCTCGCCAAATCCCCGCAGCCAGCTCTGATCAGGGCCCTCTTGCGAATTTTGTTTCTGATTTGTCTAGCGGTGAGCAGACCCGCGGGCCGATGCGGGAAACTGGGGGGGGGGGGGGGGGGGGAATTTCGAAGGGGGGGGGCCCGGGGGGGGGCTCCCTTGACCTCTCGGATGGCCAGGAAACTCTTCGGAGTCCCCAGTCGCCCGCCAGGGCCCCTCGCCCCGGAGTTCTAGCTCCAGGGCCGAGAAGCCGAGAAGCATAGCGAGGTTGAAGTTTCTGAACCAGCTAGTTCCAGTGTGAAGGGTTTCGCTCATCAGGCGCGCGTGACAGAGCACCCCGACCCCACGGCGACCGACGATAGCTAGCCTGCCCAGGCTGTTGCCGCTCCCCTTTTCCACCTTTTCGCATTCCGTCCACCTTTTGATTCGAGCATCGCGTCGAGGTTGGCTTCGCTGTCGCACCGCGCCCCTGGCCAGTGGTCAAGGACTCGCTCGCATAGCGGGCTGGCGCGCAGCACGTGGAGAGCGTCGTTGGGTTGCATGATGCATGGGCCATTGCAGCGGGATTAATCGCGATCCAGGAACACCGCAGCTTACTTCTACCGACACATTCTCCCCATAGAGGGCTGGGGCCATATTTCGAGATTACGGTGCCGCGCGTGCCTAGAGGTTCCGGGCAGCGCCGCTGTACGACGGCGTCGCGCTCTGGCGGGGCAGGGCGACTTGCGTTTTGGAGCGCATGGTCCAGCGTAAATCTCGACGCAACGGCCCGAGGCAATGCCGCGCTGGAAGAAGCCTGCGTACGCCTACCCAGATCATCTGGGACCGGCTTAACTCGGTAACGGATTTCTGGGTTGTCGATTTCAGGTCGCGACCGGATCCCGGCTTTGACGCCATCTCGAAGTAATTAAAAAACGCCTCTGCTCATGATCTCTGAATGTCGGTATTGGCAACTCGAATTTCGCTATCGACTGCGACGCAGAATTCGGCATCGTCGAACGCGAAATTCGGTAGCGAACCAGGCGCGGATTTCGGCATTTCTGCTGCCAGATTTCGGTAACGACGGCGCAGGATTTCGGTGGCGACGAGACGCCGAAATCCAGTATCGCTGAACGCGAATCCAGTAACGAATTGCCGGGATTTGCACGCTGATTCCACGGTGCACGCGTGGCTCCTGATACCGGAATCAATCCCTGGATTCCAGTATTCCAGTAACGACCGGCTCTGCTACCTCGCTACCGGCTTTGGGCGGTCGCGGATGATCTGGGTAGCCGCGGACTACACTCAGGGCGCGCACATGTACTTACCGCCGATTTGGGCCAGGTCAGATTGGCTGGGCGCGCTCGGTTTCCTCCCAAACTTCGAGAGCCAGGAGGGAGGCGCTCCGAACTTCTCTTCAGAAGTTTCATGAATGTGGGTGGCTACACATGGGGCTCAACCCATCCTGCATCGCTCCATCAAGGACCAGGCCCCGCCGACTGAGGAGCTGGTCCTTGCTGAGCAAGTACTGTGGCATCCGAAGGATATCATCGACCACAATGTGCGCCACTGGCACAGGCCGCGGTGACATGAGCGGGGTTTCGACGCAATGCCTTGTTGCAGGCCCTTGACCGTGTGAGCAGGGGGGCCACCGCGGCCAGTCTCCCCACCCACGCCCGACATGGTCAGGAACGCAACACATCCGATGGCGCCCCGATCGGGCATGAGAGCCGATCGGCTCGCGCCGCTGGACATCGAGAAGCTTCCGCCTAAGGGGGTAGCAGAGCTCGCATCATTGCTTGGCACCGTCGAGAGCTGCCTGGCCTGGCCCCGGCAACTTCCCCTTGCCACCGGCGCGCTGCTTGGGGAGAAGTCGGGCGGAGATCATGTCATAGTCCTTGCGGGTACTATCCTTTGGATTTAGCCCAGAGCGCGTGAGCCGTGGTTCCAGGAATGGCCGTTTCCAGGTCGGCCGTTCTGGGGCGCGGCGATTTCTGGCAACGCTGCCTTGAGGGAGGCATTCGTTCGGTCTGTCAGCGACGAAGTCGCTGGGCTCCTCGGCATCGATTACTGCAGCGGCCTCCTCGACACACAGCTTCTACGACAGTGCATCTTGGATCAAGCTTTATGTCCAGGCTCTGGAGTTGGGATTTCCATCCGAGGCCCCTCTTCCTGGCATTGCAGTTGCGCGCGGCAGCCCGCGCGCTGGCCACCCAGAGCAGCTTTTCAACGGCATGCAGCCAACGCGTTCGGTGGTTCAAGGTCTCAGGTCGGGCACGCGCTTCGAAAGATGCATGGCGCATTTCGTTTTGTCGCGCCTGTCTCAGAGCCACCCATCAGTCAACGTGAGAATGCGAATGGATGGTTTTTCGCAGTCCATCGCAGCCTCGAGGTCCACTACCAGGAAAGCGTTGCGTAGAGTTTTTGTGGCAGACGAGTCGATTGCTGGCCGAGGGCGGGCTCAGCGTTGCAGCCGCGCAAGTCATCGCATGCTCCAGGCTGCAGGATGTGAAGTTCATTGCCAGACATCTCAAGAGCAAGGGGGTGATCATCTTACCAGTGGCGCAGGCGCCATACTTGGGAGTGGATATCGGAGCGGGTCGTCATGCCCGCGCAATAGCTCGAAAGAGGGTAGCCAAGCCGAGGACGATGGCATCACGGATCGCGCGGTTCGCCAGAGCCTCCAAGAGATATCTCTCAGCACTACGACTGGAGCAGGCAGGGGGGCAACCAGTCGCCCACTACGGGCATCAGATATATGGGGTAATCGGCAGCGCGTTGCAGTCCATGCGACGCAAGCTGGGACAGGTGACATCATCCGCGCGACGTGGGCGATGCCTCCCTCGCGACAGTCCAGGGCATGCGATGTCCGAATATGGGCCCAGCATGCCGCCTGCCAGCTGATTCAGTGCGATATTGGCTCCACGCGTGGCAGACGGAACCGAAGATGCATCCAGGCACCGAGAGCTTGGTCATCAGTGGTCGCCAAGTTCCTCTCCCTCTTCGCCAGCGTCACGTCCGCGGTTCTCTGTCAGCCCTGGACCGTTACCTTCTCCACTGCAGCTGGGACCCCGTCGGCCCGACGCAGCGGGGTGCACTGCCGGCAGGCTCGGAGGGCCGCGAGGCTTTCATCTGTGACAAGTTGGGCGCGCTGGTAATGGCTCAAGTCTAGTTGACGTGTTTCAGGATACCATCATGCTGGCCCAGTGGGGGACAGCCTCGAGCCGCCACGGCGGCGAAGGCCTGGAGGGTGGAGCGGACAATTTCCTTTGCAGTTTTTTCAAGGCTCTGGAGACGGCTCGGCGCGGACACCAGCTGTCAGAGC